TATAACTACAAGTCTATCTATATCAAATATATATTAAAAAGGATCAACTATTCTCCTCTATGACATGCTATGATATGTGTGCATGTCTTGTGTTAAAGTAAAATTAAAATAAAGTAAAATCAATGTATGAATGAGTTTTTTTTTTCATGAATAAAATTACAAGTAATGTAATAGGTTTTCAGTATACTTAAGTTGGATAAGCAAGTATATCAAAGTATATTATCTGTGATCAAAATATTGGTCAAGCATTCAGGAATAATGTTCGTGGGAAAACGGTATATAAAATAAAAAATAGCGTGACTGATTATGACTACTAGGTGATTTGTGACGTTATCATAGACGCAATATATGACATGAAAGAGAATTTAAATGATAAAGAATATTATGAGTAATTGTTCAAAAATCAGAAAAAAAATATTCCTCAGGATAATTAAAACAACAAAGTTACACGATAATTACAGACTCGTTTTGATTGAGTCTGTGCATAAGGGATAATGAAAAAGGTGATCATCCCTCACACCGTTAGCACCGGCTTGCGTGGTACTCAAAGTGCAACAATTAATGCGCTGTAATCAAAAAGTGACTCAAATGTCTTCGAAACTATGGAACTACGTTCTCAAATCATTCCAATTTTTTATAAAACGGTTGAATAAAAATCATATCAACATAAAGTTTTATCATATAAGGTGAAATGACTATCTGCTTTATTCAAGAGGATTGCAGTTTGGATTGTACCTATTTAAGATTAAGATAAATAAATGTTTTTTAAATCACTGAGTATTTTTCAAAATCCGATAAAATACCTGCGTTTCAAAAATCAGGTAATGCAACAGAACAAAAATGATAGTTTGATAATTATATTTTTTTATTTTCTTTTTTCTTCTTATGCGAACAGTGAAATTACAAATTAAATATCACCACATTTTTTAAAAAAAATGATATTTTTATATATCACGTTCTTTTGTGTTCTTAACCAAAATAATAATTACAAAATTGTATAAAACTAAAGTCATTTATAAGCAGCAAGACGAAATAGCCAGATAACCTATTCTGAAAGTTAAATTTTGTTTATCAAACTAACTTAAAACATGTGAAAGAAAGAGACTAAGTGTTTTTTTTTAATGAAAGAAAAAAGTTTATATCACAAGTGTGCCCAATTTGTATTCAATTAATTTAAAGTTTATATCACAAGTGTGCCCAAATTTATATTAAATCAATCTAAAGTTTATATCACAAGTATGCCCAAATTTGTATTAAATCAATCTAAAGTTTATATCCCAAGTATGCCCAAATTTGTATTAAATTAATCTTAAGTTTATATCACAAGTATGCCCAAATTTGTATTAAATTAATCTAACGACCAAAGTCTAGAAGTCCAGCAATTACCAGCAATTTACACCGACTGATTATCGCTGCATCAGAGCAGTACTTTTTGTATTTTCAACGAACAACAAGACATTTCTCTGTCATGTATCTTGAAAGTCGTGCTATACAAATGTTAAAATGAAACGCAACGACATTCCTGTACTACAAGCGTCGCCCTGTGTCGACCTTGGTCCTTAATTGATGGTCAAATAACTCCTGATCTCCGGAAGAAGTCAGTGATATTCGATCACCATGTAAGCACAAGAATTTAAAAGTGGCTTTACCGTGTTTTTAATCTTTGAATACATTATCAACATTTCAAAGAAAGAACAGTATTTCATTTATAGTATCTTCAATTATTTATGATTATTTATAGATAGTGTATAAATGCTAATTTTATTGATTAGGATACTATTTAGAATAGACCTAACAGTTGTCAAAACGTTAACGATATCAGCAACATCAAGATAAATATTGAATACTAGTACATGATTGTATAAAAAATAAAGGCAAGTGAATTGAAAGAACGTATCATTTTATTGACAATTTAATAAAAGAAATTGACAAATGATTCAAACATTGTCGCTACAACCAAACTTATATGATGGTGGATCAATTGTCTAAAAGCTTTCATTAACAAGAGACTTAGTTCATAATTGAATTTTCCTGTGAATGTTACGATTAGCACAACCTTTTTAATCAAGGAATGAACTTGGTCCCCTTTTTCTGAGTTTGATTTTCGGTCAAATTTGAAAACTCTAAATGTAAAATATCAGAACTATTATTATATGTTTAAATCATGAATACAATGCTCTGAAAACCATTAAAAATAACATTAACAATTGTTAAGAATAATTAGTTTGATCACCAGTAATTAACAGACCTGTGTGTTGTTTGTTTTTGTGATTAATCGTCTGTTAAATTGCGTGTTAATTCTCTATTCTCCCAGACCTCACCTGTCAACGTTTTGTTCCCGTGTTTCCAGAAAGTGACAAGTGTTTAATTCTTTCAGTTATCTAAATCTACAAATTCCGCTTTCTTTAGTCATTTTCGATGGTTGCATGTCAATAGAGACTTAGATTCACTTTACAAACGGTACGTTTCGTGTACAGATATGGGAAAATGTCTTCATTATCAAATAGAAAGCCCAAATATACAAAGTTACTTTGTTTACACGCAATTCAGGTACAACTGATTTTTGATAAGTGAAAATAATGGTTAAATTATAACACTTACTAATGTACATTTTGACGAAACTATAAACCAACGAATACAATAAAAAGAAACAATCTGTTCTTTTGGTGTTAATATGGTGTCAGAAACTGAAGTCAATTAAGTATGAGCAAATTTGTTAACAAATGGTATTCAGGTTATTTTTAGTATCCTTCTGGGTGGTTCATAGGTCACAGCCTTTAGTCATATCATTTAACAATAAGTTTACAGCTGACAGCAATTATAAGATAACCATTGAACTCTTTTACTGTAAAAACTAACATTTTTTAAACAGATAATTGACTAATGTACGGATTTTTCTATTCAAGTCATTCAGAAAAGTAAGTTTTCGCTGCACGAGAGATAGTTAAGACCGATTTTGTCGTGTCTTCTCGGCACAGATTACAGAGATAATCCTATGGGCTATACATTCAAAATGTCAGAATGTCAGATCTAAATGATAATGTTAATGAACGAATCAAGGTGTTAAACAAAGGTGTACCCTAGGACCTCACTTATTTATGGCATTGAATAGTCATTCGTTATTTATTGAATTCATGACAGTTTTAAAATGAACATAATCATACCGTTTTGTGAATTGTATTAGTACAAATTGCAAATTGCTGGTAAATGAAGTATAGGATTTGTACAATTATCTATCAAAGACCATGCTAGCAAAGTAATGTAAATTATTCAACGAAATACAAGTTGGAAAAAAGGTTTATGGCAGTATATTTAAAACCACTATTAAATCAATTAAGAACTAGTTGTATTTGTTGTAAAATATGTTTTGAGTAAGAAAAAGGATCGTTTAACTTATATCGTATTTGTTATATGATTATGAAAAGGAGTGCGTTAACTGTAATAGAGCAATTGGTTTTGTTCTATTATGCCCAAATTTTTACAATCGTGTAGCAAAATTATTCTTGCATTTAATAATCAAAATATAACGTAGGCGATGAAATATTTGTATGATAAAAATCTCTAAAACACCAGAATGAAGCAGCAATTCAATAAAAAGAAGTGCACCAATGGCGTTTTGTAATAACTGGAATAGAAAATTAGGTTGTCAAATTAAAATTACACATCTCTAGAGTTAAGTTCAACTTTTGATACTGTCTAAAAAGTTCGAATCAGTCTTTAACTTCATTCGTCACAAATTTGTATTTTTAAGTGATCTGATAGTTTTCTTGTAGTCTGTGCTAACATCAGTTCCGGCCAATAGCTGATATAGTGGTATAGTCTAATACAGTTTGATGTGTTAGCCGGTGCTGGTGGGTGTGTAAGCATTGTTTGCATTTTCTGGCACACCACAGTCACAGACTTCTTTAGATAATGTATACAATTTCCTATCTTGAACATCTTCTTGTTTCATGGTATGTATTTTTTATTTAACTGTGCATTATTTATTTTTCTTGCTATTGATTTTAATGGGTTTTTTTTTTAAAAATAATGTCGATGCAACCAATTATGAAATAAAAATGTAAACGTGTCACCACATCTGTGGGAAATACATGTAAGGATTTGGAAATGAGGTGATCTAACATCAATAAATGAGATAAGATAAAACATATTAGTTAGTTTATCATTTGCATATTAACATATAAGCAGTGATAGCGACAGGTCGGTTAAGCTATTAACATGTCCCCGGAAGCCTTCTCAATTAGCTTATAGATGAATAAAGCAACAACTTAATTTAGTCTAACAAATTAATTGAAAAACGTGACTAGGAACCCATTGTGGTAACCAGATGTTCAGGAAAAAAACAATAGCAAATTAAAATGATCTGATACATGCTTCAAAAATATATCGTACCATACGAATAAACTTTTTTGGATGAACTTATTTTTTTTTTAATTCAGATTGTTCAATATTAAAGTATGCATAATATTGAAACCAAGTGTTTATTCCATCTGTTTTGTTTTATTTACTTAAGTACAAAGCAAATGTTTAAAACGTAACCAGCCACCTGTTTATGTAGGATAATAACATTTTAGCGATAATTTACATCATTATTGCTCGCCTTTTCCCAAGTTTACTCAAGATCATTTTTAAACGATGTTGCATGTTTGAATAAAGAATTTAGAATCATTATCAAAGTCTAGTATCTAATTATCATTGATATTTTAATACACATGACAATTTACAGTGGTGCTTCAATCAAACTGCTCTATTACCTCTCTCTTGTCAGAAGAAAAAAATCAAATCATTATAATCACACACCGCATGTTTTAATGTTAGTCATAAAAAGGTATTTTCACACTACCCGTTCACCATCCGCATCAATAATTGGCCCAGTCGTTAAAATAGGCGGAGTTTAAAATTTAAATAGCGTTTATTGATTGGCTGAACGAATCATTTCAAAGTATCAGATTCCAATAGCAGTTTTTACCGCATGTCTGTATTGATTATAATTTAAGGTTGTAATCCATTTTAAGTCACAAGGAAAGGAACTCTCCAGGGTGATTAGTCTAAAACGTAACTGACTCTGTTAATTGGATTATCTGAAAGTGTTAAACGCAGTCAATTAAACGGGATAGAAAAAAACGATATACAGCAGCACAAAAAGAAGAAAAAGATACACAAAGTTCAGGTAATAAATCGTTTGATATAGTTAGTCTCTTTGATTTACTGTATGACAAATCATTGTTAGTATTGTTAGTATTTATAGATACAATTACAATTTCTTAATTAGTGCTTCAACAATATTTTTGCAAGTACAACTTTGCCAATCATATTTCTATCACTATATGGTAATAATTGTCATCTATATATTTTTTTCTATCTAAATGGTACATAATGTATTTTAACATACAAAATGAAATGACATGCAAAATGAAAAGTTACAGGCGCATCAAATATATACCTTAATAGTTGCATAAAGTTCTTAATATTTATTGATGAAATATTTAAACTGTTTAATAACTTCAAATTTGTTTTATTGGTGTTATATTGTATTACATGGTTCTATTAAATGCTACCTTGTAAAATTGCTCTGTCTAATCAATTCTTTTAAGAAATAAATACATATATACTAAATGCACGTTTCAATCAATTTCAGACACTGTCATTATTTTTTTTTAAAAAGAAACAAAATGCATCTTTGTAATTTGAGATGACACTAATCAAATCAATATTGCAATCATTTATATCCCCTTCCACACACATTTATATTTATTTTTTTACCATTATCTTAATGTCTTAATGTTTCTATCTAAGCAGACGTCTTGTAAATTAACTGGAAAAAAAAAGAAAATAATAGTATAACTGTATGTATCAAAAATTATGTTTCCAGGCTTCATTTCATTATTCTGTAACAATGTTTTTACAACAGTATATTGTCCTCATAAATAGCTTCGTTAGGCGTCGACACGGCAAACATTACAATACAATTTCACTTCAGTTCATAAACTTCGTTAAATATTAACGAAGCTTTTAGTATAAATATAAACATGCATTGGTCGCCGACACTCTCGCTGTCAGTTTATGAAATTGCTTGCAGGTCGCAGAATGTAGTACTGCCAATTTTCATTCCATCTCTCAATCTCTGATTAGCATAATATTGAATACGTTCATGTATTTTTAAGAAGACACTCGTATCTTACTAAGATAGTTTTTGTTATACTCTTTAGTAAAAAGTTGTTTATGATATTTATGATCTTTTTTTTTTTTTTTGAAAAAAACTTAACGCTAAGTAAGACACTAAAGCTATATTAGTGTAATTAGTTGGACAAATAGGCAAGCAAAAGATTATGCACTCTCCTAAGATCATTTTCAAAATTACTAATTGATAACTTAACTTCATTAAAGATCAGATAAGAAGTGATATATTACAAAAGTTACTTTGCAATGGACAATAATTTGAAAACCAATGGAATACGTTTCATTTTCATATAAAATACTTTCAGAAAGGTATGTTACTTTAGCTCCAGGTATGTTACTTTAGCTCCAGTGTTACTTATTTTCAGACTAGCATACATATATTGTATATGTAAGTCGATTAAGTGGAATAAAAAGTGGAGATTATGATAAGTTAGATATTTTTGTAATTTATTAACAGTGATTTCAACCAAGAATATTTAATAGAATGCTTCAAGCATTTTGCAAGTATTCGCGCGAATCCGTGTCGCTGTTTCAAAGTGATTTTGCCCCTCTTCGGTGTTACTACCCGTGTTTAGTAAGAATGTCGTTATAAAATATTGCAAAAAACAACTATCATTATAATCTCCGGCTATAATTGAATTAAATAATTAAAGACGTCATTAGGCGGTGTTATGTTTTTTTAAGAATTTTCATAACCAACGAGTGAGTCAACTAAAAAGTTCTGACACTATCATTGATCATATTGAAATAAAAGAAAATATGTTTCATTACTTAAGAATTAGACACATTTCAATTTATGTTTGATAACGAATCAATTTAAGTAGTAGCTATCAATACCGAGCGTTTTTGGAGGCCGGGTACATCATAACATCATCATCTCAGCGAAAATAACTGTTCATAATACATAATCAGCCAGCTATAAACGTAAATTTATCATGTCGAGGTTTTATGTCGGCGAATTTAAGACATGAGTAAGTTAGTATTTGCAATGTATTGAAATACAGTAGAGTTAATGAGATTGTGCTCGGGTATACTTGACAATATTGAATGACATCTAAGCTCTGTCATCTCATCTTCTAGCTGTTAAATGAAGCAAGTAAGTAGCTCACCTCCCATATATATGACAGGTTGGAAAAAGAAAAAAATGAATTAAACAACTATTACAGATAAATATAATATTCTATTTAAACTATTTAAGCATTTTTCACACTGCGACTTTGTGTTATAAATGTTTTTAAAAGAATAAAGTGAATGAAACAGAAATGAATTAAAATATCTGGAAAAAAGTGATCCCTTGGAAGCATTTAAAACAGCAAAATTATATTAGAACATAATTAGAAGTCAGTTTTTCTTTAATAGATGACGCTTCTTCTTTTGTTTTAAATTAGAAATTATGTCAAACAAAAAATTACACAAATATCATTTTTGCACATTTTTTTGACCTATGCCACAGGTTTGTACGTCAAAACCAGATCGCAGAAGTAATAGAAAAGAGTATATAGCGACCAATAATATTAATTTATTATTCAACAGCTTCCGTGAATAGCCGACAATTGACTTACCTTCGTAGTTGGGAAGGTGATGGTTTTCCGTTATACCAAAATTTCATTCACCATTTTTTTCTATTTGTTTATTTTTATGCATTTGATGATTATGATTATTATTATTATTATTTTATTCTCGCCAAATTAATATTTTATCTATCTTCATAAAATATCCGTTTCATTATTACATGGCAATTCTATATTACAATAAACATAAACACTTATTGCTAACCACATACCCAAAATGGATAGAGTTTTTTTTCTTTTCTTTTCAAAGAATACATAGCAACACTTAAAAAACATTGTCGGCAAAATGAAACCGCAAAATAGATTATAGTAAAATAAAGTTCAAAGTAAACAGTTTTGTAACGAGGTGCGGGGATAAAAAATGAAACGGAAACAAACATCTTTATTATCTTTAATTTAAAGTCATGTTTAACATACTAGAAAATGGCCGTATGAATAAAAGCTTATCTGCTAGCGACTAAAATTGAATGACATCCTACCTCCCTGACAAAGTTCTTTATTCCGCCGAAATAAATCGGGAGAAAAAAGAAGAAATTTCTTTCAACGTCAAGCAGTTATCTTTTCTTACAAATATATACCAGAATGTAACAGCAAATTAGCATAAAACATAATAATCAAAATAAGAATATATTTGATTAGCCAAAAGAAAAGTTTGATTGATTTTTTTTGCTGTTGATGTTTTTGTTGTTTTTTTTGTTTTTATTTTTGTCATTTTCGTTTTTTTTGGAAAGATGGTGGGCTGATGACAAGCCTCTGTCTACTCTTATGTATTTGCTGCCTAATTCTACATGAAAAGAATGATCCAGATCCTTTTAAATAACAATTGTGTTTTTACTTTTGAAACAATGCAAACTGATTTATACAAGTAAAATGAAGAAAATATTTATAGTAGAGATATAGTACGCTTTAGGGGCCATGACTCATTGAAATGACAGTATAAATATTCTAATATCGCTACTCGGTGTGCCATGAAATATAAAGTATCAAATTTACAGTGCAGAAATGATAATATACAATGCATACACTATAATAAAAAATATATCCCGTTTCATAAACACCAATTTTCTCTTTAAACTATTTATATGTGTCAGTGTATAAATTTTATTATAGCATCTGAAAATAGTATCAAAAGTATGAATTTGTCAACAATAACATTTTAAAAAAGGATGGATATTTGGTGTCTCATCAAGTATTAGAAATCAAAAATCATAACATCATTCACGTATTCAAACTATTTTACAATTAAAATTCCTTTTAGGGAAAAAAATAAAAGATGAGTAATAGTGTATATAAATAAGCCATGATGACTTTGTATCTTCATTGATATGTAACAGCCTTCTTTTATTTGAAGTATCCTAATATTCATATAATCAAAGGGGTAAAAAGGTACAAAAGCAAGATATAGTCGGGTTACCTACGATCCACGGTCCATTGGTCATAGGCTACCAAATTAGTCCTCGACTACCTAGAGACTCCTAGCAAAGGGCATAGGCGCCAAAAAGAAGTGGGCGGGACTTAATAAAATACAGTTGATGGTACTGGAGACTTGATAGTTTCAAATTATCACTAATTTATACACACTTGATGAGGATGACTCAAATTTGTGATACGCTTTATTCATTTTGAAACTCGATTGAAAAGAAATAATATTTCAGTTATACCTTCACTTTTTCTGATAACTTACCACCTTTGGACAAGAGAATTTCATGTGACTTTGGATTTATACAATAGTTCAGAACTACCCAAAAGTATTAAAATCACCACCGGCTTATTCAAATTCATTCAATTATTTCCAGAGCGGTGACGTGATATGTTGCTGTACAGTTCCGAGGAGGAAAGCATGAACAGGAAAGACTCGACAACAGGTATGAATTGATTTCTCGTTCTTTATTTTCCCTTCATTTGCCTTGTATTCTTTTGTTTATTTCTTTCCAATGACAAAAATTATGTATCATAGTTTTACTGTTTATGCGCAAACACGACATTACGATTTGTTCCAGTCCGAAAATGTGCTTCCACGTATCCCAAATTATCTTTTTTATTATTTTTCATATTTCATTGGTTTGAAGATTTTGTTTAACATTTTTCATAGATTTTTAAAAGAAAATAAGGATAAAAAATATTTTTAAACCCATACATATCCTTATTTAATGAAAGCAGTTGTATCATTAGATGATAAATGCTGTTAAGATTTATCATAATTTATAATCACCATATTGGAAATGACTTAGCATTATCAAATACTGTCTACACCATTTGTGGCACCAATGAGTTTGTCTGCAGACAAGTTAAGGTTTATCTCTTTTATTATCTCTTTGTACTCATTAAAATGGCCGATCGTTTAATATCTAGTTAACTTCATTCCAGATGCAGTTTCTTTCAATGCGATAACCAATTCTGTTCCCTTTCTAAACTATCATAGATAAGTTTCAAAGATACGATATTCCCTCCCTTATAAATCACATTACATCCAAGCTTTTATTCAAGTGTCAAACATTTCGACTGACAACTCTTTCAAGATAGCACTTACAATCAAAATAGATAATCTGCAATGCTTCAAGTTCAATTCTGTTTTCAATTCAATAAAACCACATTACATATTAGTGTCACTATTATAATCTACAACCCCTCCGATTTTTGTACTTTTTATAATTACAAAAGGTTGTCTTAATTATTATATTATAAAATATACCCGACAAGATACACAATATCGAAATTTCACCTTTTGAAATTGAATTTAATTCAGTTTTAGCTCGGCTGTCAAGGCTTGATTATCATCTATTTGAATATTTCTTTATCATATTCTTTAAAAAAATTTAAATCACTCAATGCGAAGTGTACTAAATAATCGAGTTAATCCATTTTTTCTTCTGTTTACAATTTCATCGAATGCTGTAAGACACGTCATTCATTTAATTTTTAATTCAAAAATATCTCTTTTTCACTTTGACACAATTAAATCTCAATTACCTTCAAGGGTCGTTCTGAAAGGGGGCATTGAGTGCATACCGAAATAACTCTTTATATGTAACAATAGCTTGTCCTCGTTCAACCCAAGACCTCACTTAACCCGTCTTCATTGGATGGGCAAGAGACAAGATAGACCAAACGTTTACTAGTGATCCTAACGCCGTGTGGCTTTCACGCAAGCAAATTCAACAACAGAAGTAATTTATTGCTGGGTACGCAATCAGCCCTTTACTCCCACAAAGTGCGAACTTTCAAAAATGATTTACATATTTGAAATAATCTTATTTCATAGCGTGCATGGCACAGAATGACTTAGCATAGATGAGAGAGAAGGTTGAACGTGAAAAATAAGAATGCGATATATACAATCAGGTCTCTTTCATGATGATACGCTGTTGAAATAGGGATTTCAAATGCGTATTCAGATAAATTCAAATGATTTGTTGTGGTTTTTATGAACGCCATACTTAATTAACTGTGTCCTGGAGATGGAATAACATTTTGTCCGTTATCTTTATAGTGTTATGTCCTCTCGCTCAGAGAATTAGATTTGCACTGAGTTGTATCCTTTGAAAGGTACATGGAAAACTCACTAAGCTAGGGTGGTCTTATTATTAATGCAGTTCTCAATATGAAATCATTTACTTCAGTTGGATATCCCTCGTTATTATTCCACCTTCAAAATCATTTGTACAGGCCACAAATACATCTAATGCAAATTTAGAAAGTTTATGGGTGTCCCTTGATCAGTATAATAAAACCCAGCAAACATATCGTCTTCTACAAATACTGCCATAAAGAGTCTTCTTTTCTTTTCTCTTTTCATGCCGACTTATTGAAGTTTTCATTTATTGCACACACCGGTAAAACATCTGCTTTCATTTTAAGTCGAAGTCAAATACTCTTTGCAAAAGCGTAGCAGATGATTCCCTCATCTTCTTAAAAAACATTGTTTCTCCCCTCTTTTTATTTTCTTGTTATCTAAAAATTGGAGAAACAAATCTAACAAAGTGTCATCATTAGATCATTGTATCATTTTCAAGTTAAAAATAAACCTCTCCGAGTAGGAGCATAATGTGGTATTTTTGTGTGTCTTTTTTAAATATTCCCATTTTAGTAGCATATGACTTGGTTTAGATTTCAATATCTCTCTCGTAGTCATTAGAATTACAAATAGAATCCGAATTTCTTGTATCTGAAAACAATGTCCTTTATCACATTAAAAGCAAATTAATTCAAAAATAATATTCATAATTTCATTATTATTACGCCACCGTGTCACATAGCCTGTCACGTGTTCTAGTATTATGTCATTCTTTTCAATTGTTCACATGATTCCTTTCGCTCAGAACATCTTAAGATTTTGTTTTGTTTTGAGATTATTTTTCCCCGGTAGCGTAAGACTCCCAACTGTCTATGGGTCCATACGCCGGCATGACCTTTCTACTCATGCGAACTTAATGTCTCTTACATTGACAGTCTCTCATTTAGACACAACAGCTGTTTGTTCAATTTCGTTTTTAATTCTTAGGCAGAATCTGCCACCGTCGCCAGACCATGAAAGAATATTCTATTCTAAAAGACAAACCCTTAAATGATAACCCATCTCAAGACACCTCAGGGTCGGAACCTTTTCTGGAAGCGTTTATACATCGGGATATTACATAAAGACTTTCTGGTTATCAAATTTCGGGGTCTCGTTTTATATCAGTTAGGCAACGCTTAATTGATAATGATGAAATAAAATAGTGAACAGCGGTAACAATAGGGGACAACATCATTGTCGAGCATATGAATTTTAAATAACAAATTAATACGACCATCTTTTGGAACACATGCGCGCCTTATCTTTAGGGTGAATAGGTTATGCATGTGTTAAAAGTCTTCTTTTATGAAAACTTGTTCCTTTGTCTTTAAAGACTAATTATTCAATCAAATCAAAGCATAACCGCCGCCTGTCCTATGTTAAAGAACGAGCACTGGTTTCTTGCTTTTAAAGAAACTCAATTACAGTCCAGAAAAGAGTTTAAAAGATTGCATTGCAGTTGTAGCATACTTTCATGAGCATTATACCTTTAAGAAGATATGTTTCAAAAATCACCACTCATGAATATTTAAGATGACAATAATTGAGACCGTGAATTAAAAAAAATTGCAATAAGGTTTCTTTCTCAAATGAAGTAAAGTAGAGTTTCATTTTAGAAATGACACAACAAATGACAAGTATGGAATGTCTAAATCTATAAACGTTTAATAGGTATATCTTTTATAATAACAAAATATAACAGACCTATTTATATCAGTATCATTTATTCATGACATTCAGTAATTACATAATACATGTATATAGTTTATATTATAATATTATAAATATGCATGAATGGAAAATATTATCTATTAAATTGTTAATTTAATTTCAGATAGAGGTGAAGAGATGCAGTTACATGAGAACCATGCGGTTGAAAACAAGACTGATAGTGTGCAGTTAAGTCCGAAGTCTGAACAAATACCTGTCTTTAAGACTACTTCTGTTTGGAACCACGATGCCAGTGACAGAAAAGTAAGTTTATGTTTATTTATACTTTTAATAAATCGTTTAGGCGGATACCGCCTTTTGTATAAAATAAATTACATAAGAAATAGATTTATGTATTTATCAGATAAAAAAATGTATTTATGTTATTATCGGATAAAAAAGTATATTTCGGAGTAGTGCACTTTTTTCTTTTGTAATGAATAATTAGATTTTTTAAATTCGTTGCTTTCCTATTATCTAAATGCTTCAAATTGCCATTATTCAATTATCTTATTCTTGATATAATTAGAAATAATATCATTTGCATATAAGTATGATAAAGGGAAAATGAAAATTTGCCACAAATTAAGTCACATTCAAACAAATGGAATTATAAATATCATTGTGAAAGTTCCACATGAATTTATTTCTATCTAATAAAATTAAAGCCACACTGCTTTATAATGAATATTGAGAAATAATAATCACGTTTGAGTTTTTATGTTTAATATCAAATATAGCGCGTTGTTCATATCAATTTTGAACTGTTTCTAAAAGGCGACAAATTACGGTTCAAAGGGTGTCTTTTACGCTTTGTTATCAACATGACTATAAATTATAATTTTACCAATTACACTGATATGTTTTGCAATCCGTTCTAAACACAATACTAGCCGTTTAGCCGCTTTTTAGCTTGTTTCTTGTTATTTAAGTGTCAAATTAGCTTAAAATTACTGTTGAGAAGATTATAAGTTATGGAACATCTGAAGAATCAACAAAGAAAATTTAGAAAAACATTTTTGAAAAATGTAAAATTTAATCATGTGGCGGTTGTAAATATTACAAAGGAAAAACAATTATGTGAAAACGAAAAACCAATGTAACAGTAATTTTGAAGGAAATTATGCATATCATTTAACTTGAATCGCCTTTTAATCATGCAGTTGAAGAGGGTCCCCGTTAAGATATCATATTTTTGACCTCGACAGAATATCTCCTACATATTTCCGAAGTCGATTTGATTACTATTTGAATTTCTGTTGAATGATTTTTGTGGGGTTTTTCATCCAAAAACGGTTTTACATGTAGTTGTTTAGATAGAGCAATGATAAACTAAAAGATAATATCTTTCATTTGTTTATTTACGTAGCATAAATATTCCAGAATTTAAAAATTAGTATAAACGTTAAATTTCAATTCCAGGCGGACTCCAATCGACGCTTTGCCTGTGAACACTGCGAGAAAGTCTTCACTGACCCATCAAACTTGCAACGTCACATCCGCTCACAACACATGGGTGCCAGAAGCCACGCCTGTCCTGAATGCGGGAAAACATTTGCTACTTCGTCTGGCTTGAAACAACATCAGCATATTCACTCAAGCGTGAAACCGTTTCAATGCGAAGTTTGCCTGAAAGCGTATACCCAGTTTTCAAACCTTTGTCGGCATAAACGAATGCACGCCGACTGTAGACAGCAGATCAAATGCTCTGATTGTGGACAGGCTTTTTCAACAATAACATCTCTTAGTAAGCATAAGCGATTTTGCGAGGGTGCTTTGAGGAATGGCCTCCCTATGAATATCCAAAATGAGATGAAATCATCTTTGTCTACACCATTTGGTATCCCTCCTCCTAGATCACAGTTTGATCCTTCTTTATATATGAGACTTTTAGGAAGTAGACCATCTTATACATACCCGTCTGTCGGAAGTGGACTTCCTTTTCCATTTAGCAATCCATTGGAATCAATGAAATATGTGCAATCCCCATATCTGTCTGGGTCCCTTGATATGCCTTTGCGAAACGGACTGAAGGGTGGGCTTTCTTTTGGTGCAGAAATAAGAAAGTACGAGGAGGAGCACCCAATTAGAAAGAAGTTGAGGACGATGCATGATAAAAGTGGGAGTGATGGTGAATCTGAATTAAACCAAAGTTCAGATGCTGAAAGCTCAGCTGATATTGATGACAAAAAAAGACTCAACAGTTTTGACAGTGATAAAGTTGAACATGTATTTAAACCATCAGTAGTAAGTAGACCCTCAGTTATTGACTACCATGGTTCTACATCCCCAGTGCAGAAATTGACAACTCAAAAGGACGTAAAAGCCGATGGTGAAAAGATCCACAAAACAATTGTTGAACAACCACTTGATTTAAGCAGAGCTAAGCACGAGGAGGAAGAAGAAGAAGATATAATTGATCGTCTCTATCATAAACAAAGATCGTCTACACCTGTGTCGAAAGCAAGGCCTCTGAAAGTTTCCCCAAAACCAACACAGCTTGTATCGCCTAAACCAACAAAATTAGTTTCACCAATCCCAACAAAGGTTCAGCCTCCAATGCCGTCAAGTTTTTCTACAGAATGCCGAGACCACATTGATAGACTACTTGCAGAATCCGGAACACTGGCCGCATTTCCAAGGATGCCTTTCTTTGGAAGCGGTTACTCTCTACCATTCGTGAATCCATACACGTTGCATCTACAGCAAAGTCATTTGTCTCCCCTTGCTGGCATACAAAACATCCCGCACTACGCAAATTTCAATGATTATGCTGCCATGCATATGTCACCAATGATGCACAAATCACGTGATCGATACAGCTGCAAATTTTGCGGGAAAGTATTTCCACGAAGTGCAAACTTAACTCGACATCTTAGAACACATACTGGTGAACAACCCTACAAATGTAAATATTGTGAACGCTCGTTCTCAATCTCTTCCAACTTGCAAAGGCACGTGAGAAATATCCACAACAAGGAGAAACCTTTTAGATGTCCGCTGTGTGACAGATGTTTCGGACAGCAGACAAACCTTGATAGACATATAAAAAAGCATGAAACGCAAGGTCCAAATGTCATAGACTCACCAACACACGAATCTGAAAGTGATTTTGAGCTGGATGACGTCTTCGAAGCAGGGACTGGAAATAATGACAGTGAAATTAATGATGATGACGACGATGAAGAAATTGATGTCTCGGAAAATGATGACTTTGATCAAAGTAGCATTTCACCAGTGATATCATATGAAAGTCGAAATCTTGATTATAAACCAATCCCTCATTCAACTGAAGAAAATGTGCAATCTCAAAGTGATGAAAATGTAGACAATAAAATGTATGTACCCAAGAGTGAGGAAAATACACCAAGAACTTTTCAACAGTCATGTATTCCAAATATTAATGTCCCTGTGTATCAGCAAGGCCAGTTATTATGTTCAACATAATTATAAACGGGTGATTAAACTTGTATCATCATGCAATAGAATGACAAATATTTGCTGATTGTAAAGTGAGAAGTATGTAATTAATTATTTAAATATCTTTCTTCAACGATGTAACATTTCACAAGTGACTGATCATATATTTCCTGATCTTAATCCTTTTGGGAGTTATTGTCTCTTTGTATTTTAATCAGAGAAAAACAAATTTAAATAATAGATATTTTGTATCCATATATTTTTATCATTGTAAATAAATCATATATTATTTATGCACTGTCCGTGCCTTTTACTATGTTTTTGTTCTAGATGTGTTCTAAGTAATGTATTTAATGTTGAATGTTCAAGAATATATTCATTAGTTTGTATTAAAATATTTCACGCTTACAATTTCATTTCACATATTAAAGAACGCGTTTAATTATCTAAATTGAACAGTTTTAGAAAATATTACATTATGCCTTAAGGGCTGATATGAACAATTGTACTGGAATTTTTAATAGGACAAATGAATGTATCATCAACTGCCCTTCTTTATTTATCCTAAATCTATTTGAACCTTACATAATATAATGTCTTTATTTTTATCTAATAAAATTTTCAATAAAATATGTATGTTTCTTTTGTTTTACTTCCACTGTATTGTTTCGTATAAATTCATTGACTTTAACCCGTGGGACTTATAGTTTCTTCTATATCTGAGTAATGACAATATAACACAGTTTCACTTCATCAAAAACAAAGTTCTTGGCACCATTGCATGCAGCTGTTTAAACAAGAGGAAGAAAATAATTTCAGGAACTTTTGCTACGTTTTCTGCATTATATGGCGAAGTTAGGCCAACCCATCATCCCATAACATGGGAATTAAACTTTAAAAATGTGTCGGTATCTGAATTAAATTAAGTACTTAATGTTCTTATTAAATAAGTATTGTATAATACTTATTTGAACATGTTTTCTTTAATCACCTTTAATTGTCTCTCAAGTTAAATATCAGTAGCTAAACATCGAATATTGTTCAGACAAATTAAGCCGGATAGTCATATTATTTGTAGTGGTTTTTAAATCCACCACTATTTATTACACTTTATTTTGTTGATATGACATCAACTGTACACCAACATATACAAAGAACACGTACATTTATTATCTTTCAGTTTAGTTACTGAAAACTAAGCCATTAAGCAAGTGAATCCTAAATAGTTTGAGAGTCTTCGTTATACCTTTGTTCTAATAGATAAAACTACCAGCATTTTGCACACACAACAGAGCCCCAAAATCGACATTCCGCGTGTTCAACACCATTTTCCAATATTTTATGACCGTTCTTCTGTTCTGTATTTTAAAAAGAGGCCATACATAGATGATTCCATATTAAATGCACTATGACGCATTTACATTTTGAAAACCAGATTACAAAACAAACAAGGTATATAGACAAAAGCAACACAAATGCACTGTTTAAATACAGGTATAAACCTATCACTTATATTGCTCATGTTAATTATGCAAATATATTTAACAAATATATTTAATTAAAAACATGCGGTACGGCCTGGTATTTGATTCAAGTATTTGTAATAATTATAGTGAATAAAAATTCAAGTATTTTAATAGCTGGTAAATTGCAAGTGGATGACATAATGTCTTGTCTAATGGAAACAATATTTTATTCAAACATATTGTAATTTGTATGCAAATAGATAATGCATCAGCTTTTTGTTTTAGTCTGTATATAAAATATTCAAACACGTTTTTACTGTCCTTCAAACCTGATATAATTCTTAATAACTGTTATAGTTGTTTAAACTTCCTTTAAGTAATGAAAAGTAATTAAAAAACCAAAGTAAAACTCTTATTCTTTTATAAAAAAAGTTTATTTTTACCCAGAAAATGTTTTTGAATAGTTTTTGAAATCAAGAAAGCGATTAAAATAATGTTTTATTCGTATTTCCACATCGTCTTTACATTTTTTTCTAAACGATTAAATTTTAAAAGTTATTATTTATGAAAATAAAAACAAAATTGAACAATTCAGGCACAAGTCGAGGTTTGTTATAAGTGAAATTTATTATCTAACCCTTAAATGCTAAAATATTCTCAAGGCGTAAAATATGTCTTTGTTAAAGGGATATTCAGGCAAAATAATGACAAAAATATTAAAATGATCTTATGTACTCAAATCAGGGTAAAATGACGTTTCTTGAAGTTTCAGCATGAATTTCTGTTTGAATTTTATATATTTTGAGTTTGAAACGTAAATATATCTATATATGTTGAACAAATTTAGACGCCAATAGAATCACCAAACAGTTTTAAATCAAGCCAGGTGACTTGAACCAACCCTTTAAGTTACAATAACAGATATTTTGGATATTGTATAATTGAAACAAGTCTATGTCATTCATTTGAATTGTTCTTCAACGTTTCCAGAGTTCACTTTGACAAATATTGCGAAATCATAGCGCTCTAACCTGACCCACGCGGGTCAAGTTAGGAAACCACCATTTTATTCTTTATATGGAAAAAAGTTTTGTTTCATTGACTGTCTAGTATATTTATTTTGAGGGCATTTACAGAATAATGAATGGAAAATTCAAATCTTAGAAATTAAAAATTTTGCCTGTGTCTCCCATTAAAAGGACATTAAAAAACAATCACAAAATAAAATATCCTTTTATATGATTTTTTTATCTTTTTATATCTTAAATAACATTACTAGATCTAAAATCAAATTAATCGGAATAATTTTTGTTTTGTTTTTGTTTTTGCTGTTTTTTTTTCTTAAAAAGAAATTCTATAAATTCTACCTTTTATATCAATGTTTCGAAACTATACAAGATTCAACGTGTGTTTATTATTTTCCCGATCGGATTTTCACAAGTATGACGTGATTGTGAAAGGGGAATAATAATCATTAAAAGTTTAAAGATCTTTGAATCTTCATTCCAAACTGGAATTTACTCGTAAATCGTAAATAGAAGGACAAAGTAACGCATATAAGTCATATATTTTATGACACTTTTTGACACACATTCTTCCTAAAACTTTAAACTGTTGTCAATATGAAAAGATTGTTCAACCACCGCTTTTAACTCAAAGATAAAGTTCTTTAATATCACTAAACGCATTCTTTCAACTAAATTCATTTTATTTACCTTTATCATTGAAAATTTTACTTTCTCAATTATACTGAGAGTAAAACATATGAAACATAAAGTATATTGAAATCACATTTACGACATGATTTTAAAATAAATCAAACCACTATTTAAAAGCAATACATTTAAACGTGTTCAAGTTCGTTGTTATTTTAGCTATTTCATTGAACAAAAAAATCTTACATTAACGAAAAGTATAAATCATTAAGGGCTAAACTAATATGTTCTCTACTCGATGTAACAAAAGGGGTGATTATATGTTTTAAAGTTTACAATGAGGGGTATAAAGACATAATCATTACTGCGGACATAGATAATGACTTTAGAGCTATCTTAACCATGATCTTCCGTGATACAATACATTGGATTGCTCGGGATGACACTTCAACTGTTACGAGTCACTAAACTTTGACACTCACGACAAATAGAATTATATTACCTGTATGTATATGTTATACAAACAGGTGGATTGGAACCGATAATGATAAACATGTTTTAGATGAATTTTGTACAGTATTTGATGCTAGTAGATGATATTATTTAAAGCTTTTCTAACACTAATATACATGCAGAGTGTTTTCAATATCAAGACCAATTATACAAAGATTCCCAAGGGCATATGAATTTAGTTTTGTTATATCTACATACAAACAGCAACTACAAGAACTTACTTTAATATAATGATTCTAAATTAGACTTGAAGTTTTTCTACCTACTGTCATTGCAACTGTTAGATAACATTGTCGTAAAACAACTGCACAATATTAAAATTATCTTGCCTGAACTATCTCGTAAATGATACAAATTCAGCAATATTCGATATTTATTGTTTTCATGTCCCCTAAGAATTTTGAGGCCGGTTTTATTATTTACCCACAATCACCAGGGATTATATATTTGAATTTTGTCGCTTTGACCAACCGATCGAGTATTTGTGACCACCTCCCACCCGCTAAAAAACTGCATTCGTTTATGACTCAAAGATCTCTCAGCGCCTTGTCTTCGAAAATCGTATTCCTTTTCATCACCTATTGAACTTCATTCTCAATTTCAAATAAAAACAAATTACTTTCAGCAGATGAATACTAGCCATTATGACCATTCACACTCTCTGAGTATCCTTTTAAGGACTTCTTTTTTCATTGAAGTGATCTATAGATGGTGGATCAAAGGCCATCTTGCACTGTTTGGATATTAATATGTATTCACTGAAGTTTATGGGTATTAGGATAGTGTTGGTCACTCTCAGTCGGCAGGTCACTCTGTCAAAACGCAATGACCCAGGGCATTGTGCTTTTATAATGAAAAGCAATGGTCAGCCTCATCGATAGTTGACGCCTACAGTATCTGATGTCTTTTTATCATTAGCTTCGAAATATTAAAAAAGAATAAATAACCCGAGATATTTTTTAATTTTCTCGATTCTGTCAGACAGATGTGAACATCCGGAAAGAAATGCAAGTATGACACAAAAGGGTACAGATGGGATTTAGGCTCATTTACATTTGGACTTTTGTCCGTGGACAATTGGAGAATCTCTGGGCGCCTTGACCTTTGAATATGTGATATTATTTGGGAAAATAATAGTTTAAACTGATATTTTACATTAAGAAATTTCTTTGGGATATGGGAATATGTTTCTTCAATAACATTTTAAAGTAATTTTGTGCTGGGAAATAAATCAAAAGCAAGATAAAACAAAACTAATTGTTTCCCCCAAATGGCCCCAAATTTTATTTCAATTTATTCAAAGATTGTTTATTTTAAGTAATCAGAAAATCGTATTGGAATACATGTAGCAAACATAAGTCTAATCGATATTTTTGTATTCCCTAGCAAGACACCCATACACCTTCAATACAAATCAAGTACAATTCAAAATAATAAAAAAAATCTAAAACACTATTTTGGCGCAAATTAACCATACCAGTAATGGTATTATGTACCAATTACATCAAAAAACGAATATTTTCTGCATGAATGAAAACTTGCGGAAGTTTTAAAGACGGCTATAAATCACGCAGCACTTTATCCACCATTACAATAAATCCCTCAATCAAGCTTTCAATGAAATCAAATATTAGCCAATAAACGGCAGATAATATCATTTCAACCCGCTGCTCTACAAACAACCACAAAATGATAGCTGTTTATCACTGAATGGCGCATCCTCGTAGTGCGATCTTTTATTGCCTTTTCACCACATCTGATGGCTGTTGTATATTGTACGATGACAATCGGGTTTCATCCCTAGGTAATTTATCTCCCAGCTGGAAAGTGAGACACTGAAATTCATGATACCGTTATTTCTGACAAGACGTACTTAACTGAAAAGGCCGATTTAAAAATATCGCCATGATTTATTCGGTACAGTATATTTTACAATGATTGTTGAAATATGTGTCTAGTAGTTGGAGATAATAA